TTTAAGAGCTCTAAACTGAACTGACTGATAAGACGAGAGCTCTAAACTGACACTGAACTGACTGCCAAGCAATCAGTCAGTCAGTCAGTCTCATCAGTTTGGATTGATTGTTAGCAACTCTGGTTAGTGACTGTGATTGTTCATCTACCTAGAGCTGGAGGACATACCATTCTGGCAAGTAAGCAATGCATCTAAAGGTATGCTCGATAGGGATTGTGCGCTGCTAACGCGGCAGAACAAAAGACTCGTGAGGAAGATGAGGGATTGCATCGTGCTTGTTTCTCTAGACTGCAAATCAAGAACTTGATGGAGGCATGAATTAGACGTGGACTGTTATAACTGGCAGAGTTCCTACTTGTTGCTTTGGAAGAATTCTCGGTTCCCCTCTATCCATCCGAACTGCGCTGTCCATCATGCACATAGTCAGCTGTTTAACAGTGAAGCTCGTACCGAGGTCACGCCGGGCCAGAAAAAGCATAGAGAAACGACACTGACGCTGGAAACTCGAGATCAAGTCAATGAACTAGAACCAGATATCCCAAGGCTTAAGCTACCAGTAGTCTTTGTGGGGTTGCTCGGCATTTGCCCCACGTATACGATCTAGTAGAACGGTCCGCTGCCAATGCGGTCGTGTCGTTGGACTAGCGCGAATCAAAGCCGAAAAAGCATCCTTGTGGACAGACGTTGAGAATGCCCATTGCCCGTTTTCGTATGTTTGCGTGATTATCATGTCTCTTGCGAAAACCATCCTAATGCAACCTTTGTCGTTATTACAACTTTCCGCTAGAGACCATCTCTCTAGACGCAGCGCGTCCGAGAATCAGAGTCACTTTTTAGCTTTCGATATTGAATGGTCCTCTCTTAAGGGCTATTCTCCCACGCTCAAGTTGAGTCTCTATAGGACATAGGGTTATGTATAAGTGATTAAGTATTTGTTGATTGTGAATATGATCAATGAGCGAACGTAGGTCTTCGCAGAAGAAAGCGTCAGAAGGTAAGACTTTGGAACGGAAAGTTTGCAAAAGAATTTGGAGTAGATCCCGGATCTTAGTTGTCACGCCGGATGCAATGTTCGCGAATGGATGCGCTTTAGCCTATCCGAATTAGCGGGTTGCATGTCGCATGAAGTAACGGAGTACAGGACCCAAGAACTAGAGAAAAAGCCAACAGTATAAGAACCCAGCTTTGCAACACGTTTTGTTGTGCCAACCTCGAACACACAATCTACTCATCTTACGTATCCAACAATACACACAATGAGATCTTCAAGCATCCTCGTCCTCGGTTTGGCCGCAAACACCTTTGCCTACGCGCCACAACAAGTCCTCAGCTCGCTCGGCCTTTCCGGGAGCTCTTACCAGTGCGACAACGGTATGTAAATCAGGATGAAAGTACCTCTTAGCATCACTAACGCGATGCAGGTGCGAAGCCGTCAGTCGTCTGTAATGACGCATCTGACAAACACAACTGCTCTTGCACTTGTACCAACGGCATCAAGTTTGACCAGCCTCTCGATCCTTTCTCCTCCGCAACCAATGGAGGCAGCAGCCAAGTTGCCGACAATGCTGTATGCCAGGCCGACAAAGACCGTCTGGCGGCCAGGATCACAGATCTCACAAAAGGCCAACAAGATTTGCTTGATCAAATCAGTACCTACCAGAACACCTACCATTACCAGGGTTGCTTCACCGACGCCGACCCCCATGCCATAGATACTGTTATCACAACGGATATGCAGCTCACGGTGGAGAAATGCCAGACTACATGCCAGGCATACAGGTACTTTGGTATCAACAACGGCCATCATTGCCATTGTGGGAGCAAATTCACAAACCCAACGAAGGAGATTAACGAGGCTGATTGTAACGTCCCTTGCGATGGTAACAAATCGCAGACGAGATGTGGAGGAGCTTGGAAGCTATCAGTCTATGCGAAGCCAATTGCGAACATTGTTTGAGATGGGGTAGCGATGAAGAAGGGTTGACAAAATTGGGCAGTAGTTCTCGGTAATCTAGTACTAGTGAGGGCAAATAATAGGGCTTATCCCAATCGTACCTTTTCAAAAGCAACGGCTGTTGTATCAATCTGATGTTTCCTTCTCTTCCTATCTCCCCATGAAGCTCCCGTATAGCGCGAGGATGCAATTATGATTATTGCAAAGTAGGTAGTGTCCTCGCGTTATTCAGTTCGTCTATTCAAGACGCAAAACTTAGCAATACACAGGCTATCACAGTGAAGACAAATCAAGACCAGACCAGACCAGACCATCTCTCTCTTTCCCTCGCTTTCCTTCATCTTCACCATTGAACGTCTTTTCACCATGAGGGGAAGAGCTACTTCGTTACTGGCCCGAGCTTCTGCTGTCCGTTTGCACGTTCGTCCATACCTATAAGCACCAATCGAGCCATACCATCACAACAACAATAACAACACGCCGAGAACAACACATTGCAAACACCCACCTTGAACTATCATATTTACGAAATCTAGCATACAAAAGGTCAGTCAGATACAGCTTTTCCCCATTCCCCTTTGCACGCTGCTGTTCTTTCTCCCACTATGAATATCCAATTTCACACCCGGGGTATCCCAATGTTTAACTCTGGACTGCTAGTCTGTTTCTCAAGGTCACGATGGCACCTCGTAGTCACGGAGGCCAACAAGATACCTCTTGTTGTGTAGGAGATGGTTCTCATCTACCCGTTGTGGGTGTCGGTGTTACACACTCAACAGAACGAGATCGCGGTGTCCTCAGCGCCAATACTGGTGCGGGTATCAACGCCAGATGCTCCACTGCGACCATTTCTCGTGGTCGTGATGGTAGTAGTCATGCTCACCGACGCCAACGCACTACACAAGTCCATCGTGGTGCTGTCGGTCCCCGTTCTCAGAACGGGTGTGCTGGGAGACGTCAAGATCATGTCAGACCCAACGACGACGACAACTCTAGTCATTCATTGACCTCTCGCACTCCGACCGGTACCATCAACACCTCTACCAGCCTAGCATCCAGCATGCGCTCTCCTACCATACTCCCCATTCGTCGTGTCAACTCTTGCCCAGGCCATCTTTCAACTACCCTCAGTGGCCCAAGACTGACACGCATCTTGCCGGAATCTCAACGCCGTCTCGATCCTATCACCCTCGCAGGCCTCGAATCTTCCTTTTCCATTCCCCAGAAGCCTATCCGCATTCTCGATACCCTCCCACCTAACTTCAACGCCACCACCGCCAACGCTGATAGCGGTGGGACACCCAACCCTATCGACTCCATCAGTGGACAGGTATACGCGTAAGTCTCCCCCACACCACCGTTCAACCTCCTTCTCCCCCTTTTACTTCTTATCCCAGACCTACACAACTTGTCGTTGTATACTAAAGTAATCCTTCATCTAGCCCTCTCCCCGCCATCCTCCCCAAGACCCCCAAGCCACGACGACGACAACCATTCTATCGCGGCAGAGATAAAGTAAAGGGCGCTGTCACGAATCCCAATCTCCGCGCTATCTTCGCCGATAAATCGTATCCCAGGGAGCGGAGGAAGGCTGCTGGGGAGCGACCTGTGCTGAAGATGGGGATTAGTAAGGAGTATGAGTGAGTCGAGTCAAAATGCGACTCTCGTCTTTGCAATATACATGGCATCGCTGCGGGTTGCTTCATATGGAATATAAAAATTTAGGGTGATTGGGTCTTGTTATGCTGCGGCGTTGTGGGGATTCAGGATGGTGAGAGCGGATGATACCCTTTTTTTTTCACCTTGACTGGGCTCCTTTAGCGGATACTTGTGGGTGGATGGATTACTGTCGGTAGCGGTATGTGAGAATGGTATTTGTAATTTTGACATGTACATCTGAAATGTATCTCGCTAACACGGTACGTGAGTGCGTCTGCAGAACATAAAGTAAGAAACATATGCTTGTGAAGTAAATGCCACATCGGTTTCAAGATACCCCTGTACCATCCCGATCAAGCAAGGAGATAATATCCAACAGACACCGATACAACCAGGAAGGGACACGAAGATCAAGTTTTCACGAAGAAAAAAAAAATTGACATTAAATCCCTTATATAACGCGGCCCTCCATTCCAGCCACCCGTGGCAAAGAAAGAAGAAGTTGGCCTTCCCGAAAAAAGAATTTACATCTCTCACGACTCTATATGTACAAACATCCTCTCGCTCAACCACCTCACGACCCCACAGCATTACTACTAACCGTCCTCTTCCACCCACCCCACCCCCACCCGCCTCCATTCCCACTTGCCGGCTCCTTGGGAACAGGACTAGGCGTAACAGCCGGAGTCTGCGTGGGCGTAGCAAAAGGCGAACCACTCATCGGACTAGCAGCATTACTACTACCACTGCCAGCACCGCCACCACCACCACCCTGCGACATGACCCTCTTCATACCCTCAAATCTCGATCGTAATTCTTCCAACTCCTGTCTCGCAACCGCCTCTGCCGTCTTTGCATTCACCAGCTCAAGCAGCAGCGCCTCGTTATCCGCCGGACTATTATTCTCCGTCGCGCTCAAAACACTCTGCGTAGCCAGACTACTCGAGCGCTTGGCAAACGTCTGATGCGGAGGAGCAGAGTATTGTTGGTGGCGTTCGGATTTTTGGCTATTCGTTCGTCCAAGGCGCAACTCTCGCAGGCCATTCGTCGTTGTTGTGGATATGGAATCAGAGGTTGTGGAGCGAGATAGCGTGGGTGGCGTGTCTGGCGCGTTACCGTGGTCCGCTGATGTCCAACTCGCTGCCGCACTCGCCTTGCGTGCATTCTGTCGTAGTTCCTGGACGTTCTTCTCAAGCCGCTGGTTCTGGTTGTAGGAATCTGCTAATCTGTGTCGTGTATCTCGTAGCGCGTCACGCGCAATCTGCAGTTCGGCGTCGCGGTCGGATAAGTCACGGGCGAGCGCGTTGGCGCGCAGTGTTTCGTTGGCGAGCTGTTCTTTCGTGCGTGTCAAAGAGTCTCGCAGAAGAGCTTTTGTTTCGAACATGGACGAGGCGCGGTGGTGGGCTTGGATGTGGGGGAAGCGGGATTCTAGTGTGTCTACTATTTCTATGGCTTCTTCCGATAGTTCGGGAGCATCTCCAGGCGGGGTGAGATTGGGTGGAGATGTGATTGTTGTTCGTCGGCGCGACGCGCGGGTTGATGGCGCGGCGAGTGTTGTAGTCTTCTTTCGGACTTTGTCGACAACGGTTCGGACTATCCTGTGGTCTTCTTTGCGGTCTTCGCGCTGCTTTTGCAATGCCGTTTCGAGTTCGCTGTTTTGGCGTTGGAGCTGGCTCACGGACATGAGCAGTTGCTCAATCTGATAATGCAGGTCCCGATCTTTCGCCGAAGCGCCCATGGCCATGGACCCGTGTCCCGACTTCATCGACAACGCATCTCCATTTGAGGCGCGCGAAATGTCCGTCATGGCTGTACTTTGTGTCGCAGCCGAAGCGTCAGATTCGGCAGTTGAGTTGAGTGTTGAGGCAAGACTCTGTTTGGACGCGGAGCGCCTGAGGAAGCTAACCGGTCGTGAAGGCGCGGAGAGACCCGGGCTCAGTGAAACGGATTTGGTAGAAGAGTTGGACGGACCCCACAAGCGTCCCAGGAACGACGTGGCAGATTTCTGGACTTGCTGCTTGGACGAATCCTTCTCCTGAGCTTCCTTGTACTGTTGCTCCAACCCTTGCAACCGCTCGCGCGTCACGTCATTTGTGAAACCAACGAAATCTCCGACCAACTCATCCGCCGACCCCGCGTTCCGCCCATATGGGTCCCAGAGTTGCCGCCCCAAAAGCAATTGCATCACGTCTTCGAACTCTGTGAGAGACAGCAGCTTTTGTTCGTTGCGCTTCATTAGCGCGAGCGCGACGCGCATGATGGTCTCGGATGCGCCCTCGGCGAACAGCACGTCGTAGATGCGGAACAACATGGGCAATGGGCATGTGACTGCGAAGAAAGACAGGAACCATTGCGACAGGTAGGCGGACTGCACATCTAGCTCATCAAGATGCTGGGCTAGTTGTGGCATGTGGGAACGAAGCAAGTTCTGGAACTGGAAGATGCGGAGGTGGAGGCCAGACAGGTCTGGCAGGAAACAAGAGCGCAGATCATAGTCTTCCATGAGTCTAGTTTGGTTAGCTGACGTCGCTGTATGCAGGGCAATGCAACCTACCTCACAAGCACGCAAAAGGCCTCCTTGTCGCCCATCTGCATAAGCAGGGGGCCGACAAGGAAACCGAGACCCTGACAGTAGCCAATTTTGTGGTCATACAGACTGAAGCATTTGAGCACGCGACCGAGCATCTTTTGCCCCTCGCCTTCAGGGTCCTTGAACATCTCGACGCCGGGGAAACTTCTGCCCAGGTCCTTGTTGATGATGTTCTCGTACGGGCTCGACTCTCCGCATAGGGCGTCGTATTGGTCCTCGATGAGCTTTTCTCGCGAACCAGCTGCACTCTGCCAGACAACGCCCCGCAGTGGCGCTGGAATACCCCCTCGAATCTTGTTCAGCGAGAGGGTGGGCAGTCGCTGGACGGTTTGTGGGTAGTCGCGCACGAGGGCGGCCCAGAACTCGAGTTCGGTCATGGGCGGTGGCGAAGGCAGCTGTGAGAAGCGCATGTTGGAGGTGTCGTCGGCCACGAGGCGCTTGAGCTGGTTGAAGGAGGGCGGCCGGGACTGGCTGCGGGCGCGGGCGACCTTCATGTTGGATTTGGAGTTTGATAGTATGGCGTCGTTCTCCTGCTCCAGTCGTGCGAGCAGCAGGGCCATGGCCTAGATATGTTAGCAAATGGCGCGTGACATAGGGGTGTGGTGCCTGCATACCTCCTCCTCGCCCTCTGGCTCCTGTTCTTCTTTTTTCTCTAGCTCGGCCCAGTCGACCTCCTCGCTTTTTCCCGAGCCATTGCTAGTGCGTCGTCCCCTGGACTCTCCCGCGGTCTTTGGTGATACTGGCGCGTCGGTGTCACGGACTGAGATGGTAGGGCTGGTTGGGGCGGGTGTCTCGATGCTGGCTTGGCTGGCACGTCGCCCAAAGGCATTGCGGATTTCTGTTGAGTTTGTTCGTGACGACGCTCTCCGCTCCTCGACTATAATTTCTGGCCGCATCACCGATTGCCTCGCGCCTTCCTCTTCCTCGGGGCTTGTTCCGTCTGTTTCTGAGAGCGGGACCGTGACCATCGAGTCGGTCGGCAGTGGCGAGCTGTCAACGTGTGTTCGCGGCTGGCGCTCCTCCTTGACCTCCATGGTGATGCTGCCGCTGGACATGATCTGTCTTGACTGCAACTTGGTGACAATGTCTTGACAGGAATTCGATGACGGAGCGGAAATTTGCGTCCCCGCCGTAGAGCACGACAGAACGCTTCCTTTGCTCGGGCGCTCGGTTCCGACGCTTGAGGTGCTGGTGTAGAGCGTGTTTCACTCGGGTGGAAATTAGTCTCTGGCGCCGGGCTTGAATCGTGCACGCTGTGACTGTCGAGGTATTACTCTCCAGGCTGCATTCATGCAAAAGCAACAGAGTCGACAACAGCGCAGACAGGACAAGACAGCACGCGCGAAAAGAGAGCGACGAGCACGCAAAAGAGGGAATGATTTCCTTGCTCACGGCCTCGAAAGGAGGAGCATCAAGGAGGCCCTGGACTAGGCCCGCATGTCCGCTAGCTCTATCCGTCAGGGTCCACATTCGCCATTCCAACTTAATTAAGACAGGGCCAGTTGCTGCCCCTGGCCCCGCATCCCACCTACTCACCGTAAACCACCTCCGCCTTTCCTATGGATCGAGCTCTTCATGCGACTGATTGCGCCAGGTCCGCCCTGATGTCACCGTCCCTCCACTGGCGAGACCTCTACCTCTTCATGCGCCCTCGTATGCACACCACCGACGCGCGACGCGAGCACGGCAGTCGCGCTAAATTTCGGCCCGTCAACCAATCACCGCCGCCGACACCGCCGCCCATGCTACCTCCCACAGCAGTCCGTCCGCATCCAGCCAGCATGCACTTCGCATGCCCTCTTGAGTCGGCGCAGCTCCTACGTCCTGCCTTGGCATCGCTCAACCGGGGCGGGTTGTCATAGTACCTCAACGACTCCAGGGATTACCAAAGACTACCCGACTGCCCCTGCAGACCGCCTCTTCTACAAGGCTTGCGGCACAGTTGCTCCACATGAACCGCCCATCTTTTCCCTGCTTCGCACTGATCACGATGTTCGCGTCTAGTCTAGATTTTGGTGTTTGGCGATCTGTGACTTTCTCGCATGCGCTATCTGCCGTTATCTTACTCCCGAATGCTAGCCGACAGTCTAGTTCGAGATTTTCTTTACAGCAAGAGTATTCCATCCAGAAAGTATACCGTGGCTACAGAGCACTTTCAGGTTGCATGTAGCGTGAGAAGGTAATGTATTAACAAGATGCAAAGTGCACACCTATGCCTAGGACGCTTATCCAAGTCTATCGCCCATGAGCTCTCTTGGAGGTATGCTCAAGCTCGAGAACAAGCGACAGCATCTCTACAGCTATTCAAGAGAGGGAAGACGGAAGACGGAAGACGGAAGCAGTCGGTGACCACTTACCCTCTGTATGAACATACGCTGTTCTCAGCTACCACCCCGAACAATGCCTCGAACGACGCCACTACGATGCTTCCAACACGAAATTTCGTCGACGGAAACCCCTCCAGAGAGCGTTGGGTGCTGGATGAAGATGGCAGTCGCATGCTACGTGTCTCCGCTGTTCTAGAGGCATGATGGTGGGATCGTGTTGGACAACTTTATCAATTTGATCAAGAAAACACTCTTATTAGCTTCAAATGATGGTACGACAGAAGAAAAGACGATGCGACTCATATTAATGAAGTTGTTGGAGACGAGAAAGCCAGCCCTCAAGATCATGTTGTAGTCCGCAGCACGCGTGACGTCACTGTCGACGCGTCAAACTCCATATTGCTGCGCGAACACTGTCAAGCAATTTTCAGCACTATAAGCATGTAGGATTTGCCTTTAAGTCTACTAAGCGTTCAGATTGATCAAGCCTGAGCGTCCTTTGTCATCGCGTCTCGTGATCGCTAGTAGGCGTGTGTTCTCGCTCACGGTGCAGTACGGTCCACAAATTCGCCGTAGCGGTTTGGTTTTCTCCAGAGACACGCGAAGCCTTTAAATGGTCGACAGTTCACGTACACAAATGCGATAAAACGCCATACTCGAAACGCTCCATGCAACGGAGATGCTTGGTGTACGCGTGCATCACATCAGGCAATGACTTCGTCCCTTGACGTAGAAGCTGGCACTCCCTTTCTGCATAGCAGTACATCAGAGTCGCCTGGGCCTACAAAGTCGAGAGTTCCAAACGTGAGTCGCCGGTCTAACGAGATGTTCACGGGTCAGATACGCAAATAAAGAGCGTGGGTGCATGCCTTGCGCGAATGACAACCCGAGAAGGTCCATGATGAAACACCTGGGCACGCGATGGTCATTGTGTGCCATTCGTTTGTGTCGATGCGCTAATATGGCAGCTTCCTGATAAGTATAAGATCTGATGCTTTCCACTGAATGACCGAAGAAAATCATTACTTTGCAGCTTCATGGCTTCAGTCGACCAATGTGAGCGCGCGATAAGTCTCTACACCGAGCTGAGGAGCTCCGGCAAGTATCCGCCCTGGAGAGAAGTGGACATTGCCGGAATGCTCGCACAGGGTGTGGACGACCAACACATCAAAGCTGAATGGGCTTATGTGGTGAAAGTATACCATGACTTGAGAGGCGATGTGGGATCGATCCTGTGGCGAATTACCAGCGGGGGGCTCTTCGTCAATCCCAACGTCAGTGTACAAACTGTTGAAGAGTGGATAGAGAACGGATTGTCGGAATTCATCATCCGCCTAGAGTACATTCGGTCTGTACCTGAGCCGGATATGCATACTGCAGAAGCGTTCTTGAACGATTTGGAATGGGAAACCAGATCCAGCATGCCTGAGCCCTTTACGCCAGAAGACATCTTGCTCTTGATGAAGACTGGATGGACAGGCGAGCAGATCGCTACCGAATATGTGGCTCTTCAGCACATCAAGTATTTGTCCGACCAAGCAGTACATCCACGACAAGGCGTTAACGAAGAGTTAGAGGACGCATGGATCGAGCTACATTACGGTCTTCTGTACGCTACTACGCATCTGCCTTCCGAGCCTGTTGTCCTACGGAACATGCATCGTTCCCAAGACCAATACAACACGTACTTTGCATCCGCACCGGCTGTCGATCCATTACTCTTCAACGCTAAGACCGCAAGATTGATGACGGCCAGAGTGGTGAAATTGGACAAGATACTGGACCAACGCATCAAGCAAGGCGGTCATCCGAAGGCTCTGAACACGATGTTTACGTCGGATGATCTGACAGCGTATCGAAAGATCCGTGCGAACACCGAAAGCGGTACGGATGACCTAGATGTGGAGAATGATAGCCAGATTTGGCAGTTCCTTATGGACCTGGCGGCAAGATTGCATCCTCATTTAGCTGAACCGCAAGAACAAGCATCGATGACGGTACAGCCTACCAAGACCGCGAAGAAAAGTAGGTTTAACTTGAAAAAGTGGACAGATGCTGAACGTCATGCTCTCTGGCGTTGCATCAACGCATGGTGCAAGGAGCATGGCATAGACAAATTTCAAGCAAAGAACCTCGATACCGACACATTGCAGAACTTTGCAAATAGCATCAATGCAGTGCGCGCAGGCCAAGACGACGGATTAGATCGTACCGCGGAGACGGTTCAAGGTCTGGTGAGAGACGCGATTCGAAGGGACGTTTCTCTAGCGAATAGGCCGATCTTTAACCTGGGGGAGCGTGCGAAGAAAATGGCCGAGGATATCAGAAACAACAGGGTCATTCCGGACAGTGTTAGATATCCAGACGAGGCTATCGATATGTCAGGTATTCCGTGACTTATCGACATTGAGGGTGACGGGAACTATGAGGGCTAGCATGAAGTAGATGACTGTGGTGGGAGGCGGTGTCGCTATGCTCTGGGGACCTGTAGCTGTGGGTAGGTAGAAGAAGGATACAATTGACTATGAAGAAGCTATGGGGTATCCTTCGGACTGACACTGAATTCTAAGTACCATCCAGAAAGCTCACCGGAAAACCCAGGAATTACTAGCTTCAGGCATGCCGAACCATTTCGCCTTTCTTGACCTTTGTCTCGTTACTATCGAGTCAGTACGACCAGTACCGTGATCCTCAATCAAAGTTCATATCAAACTGATCGTCGTCTCCACCACCAATGTCGTCATCATAGGTCGCAGCTCCAGCATCGCGTTCTGCCGTGCGCGCATCCATTACAGCTTTCACCAGAGGCCTCAACTTGCGAAGTTGGCTTCTTGCTCTTCGTTATCTCTTCTTATACCCTTCTAATCTTTGGTGGCGAGCTTTGGTCGCTTGCTGAGTCTGGGTGGAGAAGAAGGCGGATCGTCGTCGTGGAAGTTGCCGTCGCCAGTCTCCATCGCTAGATCGACATCCTGGTCGGAGTCGCCGTCGAGGTTGAAGTTACCAGAGTCGCTCATTAATTCACAAAGAGCATCCGACTCATCAGAGTCGTGCTTGCGCTTGTGATCGTGATCAGTATCAGATTTCTTGAGGATGGAAGACTTTTTAGGCTGTGATATGGGCAGGAAGCTAGCGATGTCGATAGCTTCATCTGGATAACGCTCGTCGTCCGGAACGATTTCGCCAGCGTCGACACGTGTAGCAATTTTCTGGCCTTCAGCGTAAAGCATACCAAGAGGCTCGTTTGGCTTATCGGTCATCTGCCTCTTTGCCCAAGCACAAACCGACTCTGGCGTGCGCGCACGGCCAGCCTTGTTCACGGCAGCCATGAGACTGTGCTTCTCGCTATCCCATATCCGGGGAACAAACTTGTCAATACCATTCTCCATGACCCAGTTGTTTGAGAACTGGTAAACCAAGACACGCTCCTCATCGTCCCAGTGATCGCGAACTTTTGTCGATTCTCCGGTTGCACGGCTGCGCCACTGAGATATCTTCTTGCGATATCGGTTCACCCAAGTCTCGTCGTTGAGATTGATCTGGTCCAAGACGTCAATGTCGATGACATGGTCATGGATGTACGCGTTTGTCGCCTTGTCGAAGACCATAAACTTGAAAATAGTCGGCCAACTCACTTTGCCGCGCGTCCAGACTTTACCAACACCATCGGGATTCGCCCAGGTCATGTCTTTTTGCTTGGCGGGAACCGTGACGAAGGCAGGGTCGGGGATCAGATACTTCGGACGCGTCTTGTCGCGCCACATCTTCGCAAGTTGTTCGTCGCTATACTTGATTGCGATCTCAGGAATGGTGTCCAACTGTGAAAAGACCTTCCCGAGAGGAGTGACGATACAGTGATAGACACGGATCTGATCACGATCATCCATTATGCGCATGAATTCCTCGGCTTCCCGGCGAGGCGTCTGGTTGAAGACCGGCTCGGGTCGCGTGTGCTTCCAATTTGTAAAGTCGTACTGATGGTCGTAAATGGTTTTGAAAAGCTGTATTAGCTTGCCATACTTCACCGCGTCCGTCCAAGGATCGAAATCAGGGTTCATGCTCATATCCCTCTTCCTCATTTTCTCAATCAGCTTTCCGTACATGGTCACCAGGTTTGGTGTTAGAAAGAGCTCATAGAAAGATCGGTGCTCGGGATTTTTTTCGCCATTGACGCGATTCTTTGGCTCCGTGTTTAGGTTGACCTGCGACTGTTTCTTGATCGCAGCGATCAGGTTGGGGACGAGTTCGTTGCATAACTTTTCGTACCGCCAAAGTCGTTCGGCACCCTGACTATTGGCAGACCAGTGTATCGCGACACCGTCTTCAGTGACGTCTCCAGCTAGGAATGCATCTAGCTGTCGAACTTGAGCTTCCATGTTCAGGTCGACGACTGGCCGTGAGGCGTCTCTCGTCAAGGCCAGAAGAGTAGAGTAGGTCAGGAGGATATGTAACCTTTCCAGATCTAACGGAGTGCTCAATAAGTCCGGCGGTGCAAGCGTCATCTTGCCGCCGTTTTTGTGATTTGATGCAACGTTTCCTGCAGATGCGGGCTCCTCGACAGGGTCATCGTCGTTGGCGGTACGTGTAGTCGGTTTTCCTGGATCGTGATATGTCAGAAGCGTTCGGAGAATTTGTAGTCGTCGGCAAGAGCACTGTACTTACCATGTTCGACGGTGATATTGGCATCGTCGTCAGTCGCAGGGTTGATCGTTCCAATTAGCTTGTCTTCATCGCGCGCCATCTTGCAGTTGCAATTTGCGTTTCGGAAGTTGTCCAGAAACTACAGAATACGACTGGAGTATTGGAACCTTTTGTTTGATTTCTGTGGTGACAGCTATTGTTGTGGCAGCGTTTGCGCCATAAGGCTTGGCATTCGAGAGTGAAGGAGCTACTTGGACAGCAAATGAGCAAAGTCACAATGGTAGCATGACGCTATAGGAGAATGTCCATCCTCCTCACAATTGGGAAGCGTACTACCCTAGCAGACCACCTTTAAAAACGAGGGAAAGGATGGCAAGGAGTAATAATACGATTGAAGGAAGAAATTAGACAAGACGAAGAGAAATCAACAATAAGAAAAGGGAACACTTGGTGACTCTCTCGTTTGTCGCTCTCAACTGCGTCCATCCTATTCCTTAATACCTTGGTAGAACGGTTGCTGGTTCATTGTCGGCAACTTTGGTGATCATTGAACCCCTCATGCGCAGTCTCATCTTGTCACGCTTGTTTGCGAGGCGTCGAACAGTAGGTTTGTCGTTCAATAGATTACGTCTCGTACTTCGTGAGTATCCAATGCGAATTTCAATTTGGAGCGCTGACTGGATACCATCGTCACAAATCACGGTCAGTAGGAACTGTTTCGAAAGCGGAGAGCTTTGTGCGATGTGTTGGCTCGTCTTGCGCGCCTCCGTAACCGACGACTTGGAAGCCGAGCAGGTGTGGTCTATTATGATAATAACAAGCTACGCGCGTACAGACGAGGTTTCTTCCTGAAGGCCTTGTAACGCTGGATGTTGACTGGCAGTCTTGAAGTTCGCCGCCGAAAGACGCTCTTGCACGCCAAGAGCTGCTGACTCATCTAGCGTGCCTCGGAGTGGGGCCGCCTTCCTGCTACTCCTTTTCATCTCTAACCCGTCTCGTTTCCATCATGCGTAAACAGCGTACGATGCATCGGCATCCAAACAACCTGACTGCAAAGCACACAGGAAACCTTCATGAGGACTTCTCCGCAATTGGGTGAATAGTTAGATCATTGGGAGCTTCGCTGTTCATGCCGAATTCGCGCCGAAATCTGCCGCAAGCCGGACAAGATCTCGGGACCGCCCGCGCAGTGGATTCTTCCGTTGCGATCATCAATAAGCACGATATTCGATAACTCAGTTGAAAGCCTCTTCTCAAGTTGGTCTCCTGAGAGTGCCGTCTGCTGAGCTAACATCATTCGGTCTGAGATATACCGCTGGCTGGAGTATTTCGGGGTGCCGTATGACTTCGGAGAGCGCTCCCAGTGGTCTGCCATCTCAGATCCTTGAACATGTTCCATTGCCCAGACTGTCCATTATCTGTCACCATGTTTGCGAAGACTTTGCCACCATATAATCGTCTTGAACCTGCCTTTTCTGTTCTCGAGGTCAATGGCATTGGTTTTACAAGGCCCGATTCTGCGGAATGAAATCCGAGATAGGGTCTATCCACAAAATACGACGCCGGTTCCCGTGTTTCATCGCTTCGCGCCCGGTAGCTGCACTCGAAATGGAAACCGCTAGCCGGCAGAACAGGGGTAGCTTCCTCCCGGCATATTGCTTTCACAACGTCCCCTGGCTTTGCCGCCTTGGCTATCCATGACTCGGAAGATTCTCATCAACTACCCCTAACATATCATCTCTTATACGAATCGAATTGCGGAACCTAACCCCAAAGAGGCAGAAGTCAAGAAAGGACAAGAGATGCTTGGATTAGTGATTTCTCGTACCGTAGTGCGCGCGATGGACTTGGTGCAAGGCAGAAAGTGCATATAGTCCGGTGGTGGTTGGTGAATCGGCTCCAACTTACGCTCGTTTCATCCTCAATCGCGATGCGGTTCCTCACTCGTATCACTGCGCTCGCCGCTGTCGCAGCTCCTTTTGTCGCCAATGCTGCTCCCGTCGACACCCCTCGTGCGAACGAGGTCATCCCCGGCAAATATATCGTCCAGTTGAAGCCTGACACTGATGTTGCGTCGATTGCTGCTCACCACAACAAAATGCGCAGCATACATGCTCGCAACCTGGCTCGACGAGGTGATGATGGCGCGGGTGGCGCTCCGGTGGAGCGTGAGTATGGATTTGGTAACTTCAAAGGCTATGCTGGTTCATTCGACGATGCAACCATCGAAGAACTGAAGGCTTTGCCCGAGGTTTGTCACACAGCATCACCAACAGATATGTCAAAGCAGCTCTGACATCTTGTATAGGTCCTCACCATTGAACCAGACTTCGTCATGAGAATAAGCGAGTTTGTAACTCAACCAAATGCGCCGTTGGGTCTAGCCGGTATCTCGTCTCGTACACCAGAACCCACTGATTATGTCTACGACGAAAGTGCGGGTGATGGCACTTTCTCCTACGTAATGGGTAAGTCGGAAAGCCATGTCGTGTTTGGTGTGGTATTGACAGCTTCATCTAGATACTGGCGTCCGTATCACCCACGTCGATTTCGAGGGACGAGCGATCCATGGGTTCAATGCCGTTGCAGGCAGTCCTGATACGGATGAGGAGGGCCACGGAACGTAAGTCGCTCACTGTCCAGGATTTAGGTCCGGTATAACACACCCTAGGCATGTAGCTGGAACCGTTGGAGGTGCAAAATACGGTGTCGCTAAGAAAACCAACATCATTGCCGTTAAGGTTCTTGGTAGCGCGCA